CGTAAAGAAATGTAATTTTTTTTGGTAAGTGTAGTTTTATTTATAACAAAAACTAATTAAATAATACAACAGAACCGTATTTCCGTTTTGAATAGCAAAAAAAAAAAACATTTCTTTACGGTAGTGCGTAGTGATTTTTTGCATTGAAAGTCTGTAAAAGAAGTAAATAGGCTATCTTTTTCTGTTTACCCTGCGTAGGTACTACGCAGTGAATTAGTAATCATGATGGCAGTAATGGGGGACGAATGACCAACAAGAAGTCCGATTTTTTCTTGTCGATAACTCCAAAATTAGGAAGGTTTCTTCATAATTTAATTGTTAATTCGAGTTCAGCATGTACATTTGCACGGAATTATGACGATTTTAGAAAAATTTTAAGGGATATTAGCACTCGGAAGACACAACCAAAATTTACCTAATAATGTTGCTAAGAGTCTCACAATCGCATCATCAAACAGACTGACAATGCAGGATATGTAAAAAGATAGGAAGAAACTGTGCATCAAATTTTTTCACGATAACCACAATTCATCAAGTACGTTTATCCGGCCAGCCACCAACGCACCTACAGGGGAGAATCTGGTGTATCGCAAAAGCTCGATTTGGCTTACGGTAATATGACGTCGAAGCACCGGTTCTTCTCAGATAACAACGTCCAGCCTGTTCAGTCTCTAGATGAAAATACCAGTTGATGTAAGATTAAATATGAGTGGTTGTCATAATGGATGACGGCTTGGAATGAGAAATATGACAGCCAAGTTCAAATTCCAATCGGGTATTGTTACATTCGCATAAGCGCAAATAGCCTTAGGCGATAATGAATCGAAAAGAGACCGGATCACCCAATTGTAACCATTTGGGTAATGGCTCATTCCTCACCATGAACTGGGGAAAGCCTATGTCCAAGAAAGGACCTCCAAATAATAATAATAATAATAATAATAATAATAATAATAATATTGCTCCATTTAGCGTCAGGAGCACTTATATGAAGAAAGCTTATTAAATAAACTTACCTCTAAAGTACTTAGATTTTATTAATTTTAGTTTGGCGGCAAGGTTTCATCTTTTTTCAGTTGAAATGGCTAGATATATCCGTAAGTTCTATGCTAATAATTTCTTCTATCGCACTTCTCGCTTGTGGAACTAACTTCTTGCTGCCCAGTCAACTTTGATCTAGAGAGGTTTAAATGTAATGGAAGTCGTTATCTTCTGTCTTCTTAATTCCTGTTTTGATCTTATTGTTCTCTCCTTCATAATGTTTTTTTCTCATACTCTCTAACAGGCAATAATCCCTTGAGCCTAAATCGCTTTATTGCCTTGCTTGCGATGAAAGAATTAAAAGATAAGGGGTCAAATAAAAAGATAACAGTGTGTCAAATCTGTACGATGCGCTCGATACTGTTTTATGCTTGATGACAACTGGTTTAAGCAAATCCTTTTTTCGGGATTGTTTTTTTCTACTGAAAAAACGCCGTGTCGTCATTCTTAAGTTGGTTTCAACACACTCTTCCGTTTTACAACAACAACTGTTTTCTATTTTCTTATAGCACGACGTTCACATTTTTCTGAGGAGACAGAACAAGGCACTGTGGTTTCCTTTCATCTCTTAGAGAACTCTGCGATCACGCATTTGTAAATGGAGTTCTCAATTTCAATGCTGTTTAATCCTGGCTTAGACTGAGCCACAATACACCTTCTTTCGAATGCTTAACTTTTCATGACGTTACGTAGAACGTCGCACCACTATTGTGTCGTTATTTCTCTCTCGTTTTTGATAGTAAATCAAATAATTATCAACGTGTATATCCTTGTCAAATTTAAGCAAAATAAGTGTGTTTATTTAGCCATGTCATGTCTCTCTAGTAACCCAACAAGGCAATTCATTGAGACGTCTACTGTTTAAATGGCTAGATATAACCGTAAGTTCTATGCTAACAGTTTCTTCTCTCACACTTCTCGCTTGTGGAACTCCCTTCTGGTTTCTTGCTTCCCAGTCAACTTTGATCTTCAAAAATGTAAATGCAATGTCAATCGTTATCTTCTGTCCTCTTAATTCCTGTTCTTTTAATGTTCTTTCTCTTTAATAACTTTTTTTGCACATATTCTCTAACACTCGGTAATCCCTTGCGTCTTAGGGGCTTTACTGCCTTGTTTGAGGTGAAATAATCGATAAAAATAACTAGTCTTCAAAATCCCATATCCAAATAAACATTTCCATTTGTTTCTCAAATATATTAGTTTAATCGCCTGGTAAAGGCCCGAAAAGGGGATGCATATTTTAAATTCTTTGGAGAAAACAGCGCTTTTTCAAATGGGGGGGTGGCTGCTAAATCGAGCATTTACGCTAGTTGCAAAATCAGAAATAGTATAAAGATAAACCTCGTGTCAAAACGCTAAGACGTGGCTGGGTGAAGAATTTTTTCGGCAGGTCACGTGTGTGGTTAAACAGGTTCATGACGGGTCGCAGGTATCAAAAATACTTGACTAATGACCATACAAAAACACACACACACATTTTAGCATTGGCAACAGTAACCATTAACTAGTAAGTGATACGTTGAAATCAAGAGAAACACCGACCCGTACGTGTCATACGGTTAACTGAATACACTGACCCAAATTGTGAGGGTTAGTACAAAATGAACTAGTAACCCAGTTGTCATTACGAATTTGGTAAGTTTTCATGACATCTGGATAAAAGAAATAGATTGTTGTAGCTTATTTATTTCATTACGTTAAGCAACGGTCAGCTTGGTTAGTACCTAGATGGGTAACTGCTTGGAAATGCCAGGTGTTGTAGGTTTGACTGTACGGATTGTGTACTGCATAATGGCTCGGAATTGTTACTCAGAGAGCCGTGATCCAATTCCAATCGAGTTCGTTATATTTACTTTTGTGTAAATATCGTTAGGAAAGATATGAATCCATACCTTCCCTCCCAGCTATGGGTTAATTAGTAAGATTTATGTTACTAAGTCATTGCTATCTTCCAAAATATTCTTAAAATCTAAGAAATATTTTCTGGCTTTCCATAACCTGCGAAAGATTGATAACCTGTAGAAAACGAATCTATCAATCAATGCATTGGACATCAACTAAAATTGAATAAAAGGAAAAACGAAAGTCGAATAATTCGCGAAAAAAACTTTATTTGAAAAGACAAAGCTGTTTGCGAGCAGCGGGCTGAAGTTTGCTTACCGCTGCTGTAGGGCATGCCCATCGAGAACTGATACGGTGAAGTTGCCTGAATGAAAAACCTAGAGATCAAGGACAAAATATGGAATAAAACCATTGGTCATCGTAGTCCTTTGTTCATAGAAAAGGGAAGGTTTACTGAGCGCATACAAGGCAGCACAAACACCAAATGCTGTGCAGAAGATAGTCCTCTTTGGAAGAATCTACTACCAAGAACTCTGCTAATCAACTGATACCCCCCTACATGTCTCCGCGGGGACGTAAACACGGTTCTGCAGATTGTAAAACTGGAAGCTGATAAGAAATACTACTATTAATAATAAATACCCTGATTATACATTAGGCATGACTATCATGGTTTCTGATTCTAACTGACTGGAGATGTTAAAATGAACTTTTTGTCTTGACATACAAATAATAATAATAATAATAATAATAATAATAATAATAACGGAGATAGGACCTGTTACAATTCTATGGGACTACACAATACACACTGACAGAACAATCAAAACCAACCGCCCATTTTTATTAAAGACCACAAACAAAAAAAGTCCCTGCTGACTGCAATGTATCTTTGAAGATATTCAAAAAGCTGTCAAAATACAAGGACCTTGAAATAAAAATCTCAAAAAATGTGGCATATGGGAACATCAACAATTCCTGTTGTAGTTGGAGCCCTAGGACTGGTTGGAAAAGATTGCAGTAGACTAATTGAAGGGATTCCCGGAAGTCCATGCCTCAAAGAGATACAAAGAAATTGTGCTGACAAGTACAGCCCACACTTTACGAAGGGCTTTATTTATGTCAATATTTTTTTTTTCAGTGGAAAGTGTCATGATGCCATTTCTAACCTTAGGTACTCGGAAAGAAATGTGTAAACGCCAGAAATCAAAGAAAATAAAAATAATGATAATAATTCTAGTTGTAGTTAAGGCCATCGGTTTGATTGGAAAAGGTTCTGATAGATTCATTGAAGGGATCCCTGGCAGCCCATACCTTAAAGAAATACACAAAATTGTTCTCACAAACAGAGAGCACACCTGATGAAGTGCTTTTATCAATGTAAAATGTATGTGATCTAATTTTGTTTATATTTATTTATTTAGAAAGATGTTCAGTGGAAAATGTCACGATACCATTTCTGACCTTAGGTTTCTGCTTCGGACCGCGAAGGAAATGATTGTACCACATAAATCAACGAAATCCTATAATAATAATAATAATAATAATAATAATAATAATGAGTGCCTTAATGCTACATCAAGCAGAACTCTCAGGACTTGTTGTTGTTATTACTGTTCTTCCTCTTCTTCATTGTGCCGTGCCCTTTCAACACTGGCGATCATAGCACTCCACAATTCCCAGTCCTTTGTAGCGCTAAATAAATTTTATCCTTTAGTTAACTTTCCTAAACCGTGTTCTGCCATTCATTTCATTCATCCACTCAAGTTTACAAGGTAGTTTATGAGCGGTTCACCTTCAATCTGTCTTGTGAGTATCTTATTTTGCAAACCCTCTTTTCTCATTATGTGACCTGAACTTTTCAGTATACTTCCATATGCTTGTCATTTTCACTAAAAGTTCGTCAATTCTCACATGTGCAGTCCATAGACGTAATCTGCCATCAACTATTAAAGCTATGGCAGGAAGGCAATCTAAAAGTATGGAAGATGACAAAAGCGCAGAACTGCGCATGCGTACTGGTACCAATTCTATCACCTCTCTACATCCGTTACTACGTGTCGGCTAAGTAAATAAAGATGGTATACAAAATACAGAATCAACTTTCGTGAAAAATTATGCTCACAGTTTATGAATTTTCTTCCGTAACTCGCACCAGGATGCAAACAATCATGGCTCTCCCCAACTTATGCCGTTCTATTTATGATACCTCTTTGTTCTTATTCAGTCATGCATTCTCCCAAACTCGGTCTTTTCTTTACCTGTGAGGAGATTGTCCAGCATTTACTGCCATATAGGATGATCTTAACTGTCCGTAAGTTTTAACAGTTGCATATTTTGTCTTGGTGAGTTAGTATGAACTATAGTAAATACTAGCAGTAGAGCCCGGCGTTGCCCGGGAATGTAACAGTAAAAGATAGATCAAGTATCGACCATCATAAAGACTGAAAAATAAAATTGACAAAGATTATTGTTTAAGGTTGACAGACACACATGTCTTAATTAGTTTATTTTTATTTTTTTTTTTACGAATTGGTCAAACCCAAACTCAAACAAAAACACTGTTTTCAATCGTTATGAGTCTACCGATTGAATAGAATTTTATTATAAAGAATTGTCTTGTAAATGGAATTTTTAAAGCATCTTGAATGTAAAAATAAAGAAAAAAAGTGTGCAAGACAATAAGAAACACTACCTGCCAATAAAAAAAGTGAAGTTTTGTTGAAATCAGTTGAAAAATGTAGGAAATTCGATCCCATATATAAATGGACACACACACACACACACACAAACAACCTGGGTTTTATAATAAGTATAACTCGATATGAGTTGTCCCCCTTTCATTCTCGCGATGCCTCTTAATCATGTTTTCAAATTGAATTCATGCAAAAACAATTATGTTTTTCCAATTTTTGGCGCTGTTAGAACCACCACAGGGTTATTTTACGTAGTCCTGTGAAGTTTTGTTGGAATCGGTTAAAAAATGTAGGAAATTCGATCCAATATATAAACGTACAGACACACACACACACAATCTGCGTTTTATAATAAGTAAGATCTCGTGTAGAAGCATAGATTTTCAACTCGTTTCATTAACCGCAACATGTTGGTCATATCCCATAGGTGCTAATGCACTATGTACATTTGTTTAAAAGCGGGAGTATTCGGGGAGTGTTTGTTCAACCTCCATAGAGCTCACCTGTGGTTTATACAGTAACTGTACTGATAACAATAAACCAATAAACGTCATTCAAAATATAGCAAACAATAAACGTCTTTCAAAATGTATAGATACAACATGTAAAGTATAGAGTAAATTCTCGGCTAGGTGAACCTACTGCTACTACTACTACTACTACTACTACTATTACTAATCCCGTAACCCTCTCTCTACCCATCTCGTTCACCTTTCCTCCCAAGTACCAATCTAATATGTCCGTCCGGTGTATTTTCTCCATTTACCGAGGAGATTTCGATCCGAAGAGTTGAACATCTCGGTATTCACGAAATAAATTTATAATCGAAATGGATAATTAAAGTCTCGGTCTTCTTATATCATTATAATGCTCTGTAGTCTACATTGAGCTCTCCCTGGATTTATATCCTCCTTGGAATTAACCCTTCCAGTCACAAACTGGTAAGACGTATCTATCTATCTATCTATCTATATATATATATATATATATATATATATATATATAGATAGATAGATAGATAGATAGATAGATAGATAGATATTAATAATACTAATTTGTACTTGGTAGGGATAATTCCAAGGAGGACATTAATTCAGTGAGATCTGGTCAATTTAAGCCACAGAGCAATATATAGTGATAAATTAAGAAAAAAAAACTTGAAAATCCATATCGGTTATAATTTATTTCATGAATATTGTTATATTCATCTCTTCAGAACGAAATATTTTAAGAAGTGGAATCAATCCATCCAGACAGATATGCAGGGATAAAAAGGAGAAAGGAAAAAACTAGAGTGAAACAAAAAAGAAGAAAGAGAAAAAAGAAAAAGGAAAAAAAATAATATCATAAATAAAAAAAAAAGAAGAAAAAAAAAGAAAAAAAAATTAGTGAAGAAAAGAGAGAGGGGGAGAGAGAGAGAGAGGTGAGAGAGTGTAAAAAAAAAAGAAAAGAAAGAAGAAAGAAAGAAATGATGAGCCAATAGCAAAAATATATAAATAGAATGACATAGAAAAAGTTTCCTTAAAAGGGCTGAACAAGTTAATATACCGGGTAATGGAAGGAAGAGTGGGGTTGGAAGTAAAAGAGTTACAACAATTTGTCATATAATTTTAGACGGCAATCATCATCACGTAATACAATCATCATCATTTTAAACTAATAATAATAATAATAATAATATCCAACATAAATAAAATAATATAATAAAATAAATTAAATAAATGATGTGAGTTTTCCGCCAGTCTAATAAATAATTAAATCTATCAAATCAACATTTTGATAATTTAAAAATATTGTATTGTTTTTGTGCATCAGACGTTTTTGTAGCCAAGTTATTTATTAATAAACATCGCTATTTTATTTACTTTTTTAATAAAAAAATATTATTTTATTTTCAGGTTATAAAAATGCGTGTCGATAATCATACGCTCCGGAATAATAACTTTAAAATGTTATTCTTGAATTGTTATGTTTCTTTTTTGATAATAGATATTGTTTTTAAAAACGCCTGATAATTATGCACCAACCCAATAGAATTGTTTCCGTTTTGTTTGTAGTTCTCTCTTTTTTTTTCTTTTCTTTTGACGACAGTTCCGCAATTTACCCACAGACTTTTATAAAGACTGTATAATGCTCATAGTTTTTGGCTAGAAAACACTGGAACAAAAGGTTAAGAAAAGAAGTGTTTAAAATCACATTAGCGGCTTGGATTGAGGAATTGGAGAGCCGAGTTCGAATTCCAGTCAGATTCATTACATTGAATTACGTGCTAATATCCTTGCGAACGGTATGAATCATCTTCTTCTCAGCCACCTCCGCAAATGGGTAAATAGCAGGACAGACCGTGTTCTATAGCCATGGATGGCAACTGGTCTACTGCAGAAAGAAATGGCAACCTACTGCTAGAAAAAAAAAATCTGCCTCATCAGTCATGTATCGAAAGATACATGATCGTCTAAGCGTGTATCACGCATGGCATATAACTGACTGAATAGATAACTTGGGAATACAGTAGTTCTCCGCGGGAAACGTACAAGTGGAAAGCAATCCAATTTTCTCCTGTTCCATGTGTAGACGTTCTACTCATAGAGAGTCGACGAATCCATGAGTCTATAATAAATGTAGAGAAGTTTAGCCAGTCTTTCTACACAACGGATACTGAAAATTCCATGGACGGAACAAGGAAAACGACAACAGAAAGAAAACACGACAGCAGGCGAATAAAAAGTTTAGTGAAGAAGGATTTAATCACATAAGAACATGGATTGAGAATATACAGGATGGCAATAAAGTCTCTATTCACGTACTATTAAGACAAAACAATTAACCAACAGTCCAGAAAGTTATTATTAAAATGGTTCTGGTTAATAACAATAAAATTCTATCGTAAAGAATAAATTAATGACCAATAATGTTCGAACTGCAAGTCACCTGCTTCAATATTGCCATCATATATATATATATATATATATATATATATATATATATTATATATATATATACATATATATATATATATATATATATATATATATATACATATATATATACATATATATATATATATATATATATATATATATATATATATATATATATATATATATATATATATATGATTATACATATATATATACATATATATATACATACATATATATATATACATACATATATATATAAATATATATATATATACATAAATATATATATATATATACATATACATACATTTATATATACATATATATATATATATATATATATATAAATATATATATATATACATATATATATATATATATATATACATATATATATATATACATATATATATATACACACACATACACACACAGATATATATATATATATATATATATATATATATATATATATATATATATATATATATATATATGATGGGATGTCTAGCCACACTGATGAGCTGTAAACAGCGAAACAGTCTGTCTGTGGATGACGTTATATCTGCTCCTGAAATTAATTTCAGTTGAGCACTCTGGGGAGGAGGTGTGGGTTGGTAAACAGTCACTATTATAGCTATATAGCGAGACTCTTCACGAAAGCGAATTGAGTCACTGTCAGTCACTGGGCATGTTTCTGTTGCTAAAAATCCACCTGCGCCGAAGGCTTAGTAGTTAGAAGCTCCGACTGACTCCAATTCAGTCGGGTTTCGATCCTAGCTAGAGGCAACCGGATGTCTAGCCACACTGATGAGCTGTAAACAGCGAAACAGTATGTCTGTGGATGACGTTATATATATATATATATATAGTAATTCAGTGCCACAAGTGTACGACTGAAAAGACTTACAACTTTGCGGTTAACCTTTTCTTGCTACAGTTCCATGAGCAGTTATTCTACTCATAGCGGAAGAATGAGTCCATGTTTCAAAAATAGGTGTAGAGAAGGTTAGGTGGTCTTTCTGCACAGCATAAAGTTTCCTTTTGTTTAGGATTTGCTGATTCCATTTTCTGCAGGCTTTCTTTCTTGTCTGAATTTAATTTCAATTAATAATATCGATGTTTGATTTCCCCTCTTCTGCCTCTTTCTACTTTAATATATATTGAATGTGCTTCTGTACGGAAAAGCGTATTTCTATATATCATGAATATAACAGAAGGTTTTCGTGTCTGTAGGCAATTTGAGCGACGTCCAATGGTCGTTTTTTTTTCCTAGTTTGTGCGCCAACAAAATCTTGCGTCGTCATTTGTCGGTATTCAATTACGAAACAGAAATAGAGCAAATTACGTTTGTATCCACCAACGTCGAATGCTGGCCATATTTGAATCCTTGATCGCGTCAGCAAAGCAATAGTTACATCGGAGTATTTTTTTTCTTTTTACTATTTCTTTCTCGTTTTTTTTTTACTTTTTTTGTTTTCCCTATTCGATTTTTATATCCTATCATATCCTTGTACATTTGTTTACGGACTCTTTATTCGGATATCCAGTCTAAATTATATACGTGTGTTTATGCGTGTATCGTCAATGGTAGAACTACTGCAGCGAAGAGGTTGATCCTGTGTTACTCAGGCAAATTGGGA